CAGGAACTAACCAATAGTGTTACTGACATCAGGTAATAGTAGCTTGTACTGTATAGTGAGAAATTTTTGAGGAAATTAAATTTGGTAAATTTGGCATTTTGGTAGACATTTTACAAAATATAACCCACCGTTTTGAGTCATCATGCACGCTCAATGGCACTTGGCCACAAATTTGCCAATCACCAAAATTTAGCAATTTGCTAAACTAAACTCCCTCCAAAATTTCCCACTATGCAATATACCTATCACTATCAGTAATTTCAATGTGAATGTACATTGTACATATACATGTACATGTATGTAGTAAATCAAGTGAGAAATCATTTACATTACAAATGGTAAATCAAGCAATACATTGTTAATCATTAACCAACTGCCATTGCTGGAATTAGTAGAGCTTAACCTCCAACACTTGTTGTTGTACCATGGGCTATAGCCTTGGGTATTTTTCCAAAATTGGCCCGTTTTTAAATGGCCTTAACTTGAAAATTTGAGCTTGGAATCGACTCAAAAAGGCTAAGAATAGAACCAATAGTAGATACATGTGTGTTATAGTACTCTTGATAGTACACAGTGAAGGAATGGACTTATTATCTACACATGTATTAGTTTAATTTATGTACTGGTATGTAGTGAGGCACTGAGACAACATTCCAGTTTAATACTATCAGAGGATTCAATGAATGCTATATTTTATGAAGAGAGCAGCAGCGAAGAGGAGGAGGAGGAGGAGGAGAGAGAGGGAGCACCTCCTAGTGACACTCCAGCTGCTGTCACTGAAGAAGAAGAATCATGGGACTAGAACATAATATACATATATAAACATAATGTATAATGTATTTTATTTTAAACTGTATATAATAATAACAATAATAATTAGATAAATAGAAGCAAAAATATGTACATGTAAATATTACATATTCTTGGTAATTTATTAAATTTCTGCTCGTTCCTTCTCTATGGTCAGTATCCCTCACTAATACAACGTCTCCTACGTCTTAAAATGACTCCATCCAGACCTCAGGTACTACGAGAACTGAGTTATGATTACATGAACAGAGAAATTATTTGGTTTGGGTTTTCCGAGTTTCTTTTCTCCGTGTTACCACTACTCAATCTACAATCATTAAAAAACTCTTATAATAAGATCCTTCATAGTTTGGTTGGTGATAGAGAGACATCAGTAGCTCCTAATGTTTGTGTGTATTGTAATGGAGTACCAGTACTGCCTCAAGTATCAACTTGTAGACATTTATTTTGTTATTATTGTATTGCTGCTAATGTACTAGCTGACTCTAACTTTCCTTGTCCTGTATGTAATGAAAGAGTGGCTGATTTTACTTGTTATATTGTATGAATTGTATGCATTAAATTTCTTTAAAATGAATAATTATTTTGAAATCAAACAATATTTTTGCAAAGATTAAAATGAAATAAAAGCAATATAGCAATACATAACATGGTTAGCAGACATTACATGGTTTATAGCTGATTGTTTCTAATCTTTTCAGCAACTTCCCCTTGTCCTATGTCATCTAAAGCTTTGGCAAGTGATGCCCATGATTTGTCTTGTTGCTCTGTGCTGTTTGTTTTTAGCCAAGTATGCAGACATTTTTTAAAGCATTCTGGTAAAGCTCCATATCCTTCATTAATTTCTTCAAGTGTAGAATCATCAAGTCCCAAATGAGAGCCAAGTTTTTTCCAATGACGTTCAGGAAGTCCATATTGTGTCAATGTGTAGATAATGTAATTCAAATCTTCAGTGTCTATAAATAATATAAAATGATAGGGCACTGGTATACAAAATTGACTTACCCAGTTCTCCTTTTTTATCACCTTTTACATTATGGGTTCTTGTTCTTCGATAATGAAAATTTTCTCCATCCCCTGCCTATAAAATGAGATAGAGTTGTTAAACACAAGTTACATTGCTGATGCATATTTACCTTGTCATTTGGTTCATACCCACCAAATATTGAAAGATTTGCATAATCTGATTCATAGGGCAGTACATCACAGACTTGTTTCCCATCTGATGCTGGTGCACCTTTGGTTTGGACTGTTGGGTTGATGAAATCATGTTTCCCCAATTTTATAAAGTTTTCAACAAAGTACGCTACTCTTGTTTTTGGTTTATCGATAGGGTATTGTAATTTTTCAGGATCAATAACAAATGCTACTGTATCCAGAGTACCACAAAATTTTCTATGCATGTCAAAAATATCGTGAATTAATCGTCTTCTCAGTAAAACCATATTTGATTCTTGCGCCCCTTTGTTGCATGACATCAAAACTAAAACACATTGATTTTCATCAACAAGTTCTAGCAATGTAGTAATGCCATTCCTATCAGACCATTTTAAGCCATTCTTCCAAAATGAACACTGGTACTTATCATATCCAATTTTGCAAGCTTCTTCAACAGGGTATTTCATAGTGAAGTGCAATAATAGAGAATTGAAGAAACGCTGTGGAAATAAATCATGAAGATTTGTACATTGCAGGTACCATCCAAATGTAAATTCATGAGGTATTAATCTTATTGGCTTTTCTATGGTAACAGATGATGGAAAAAAAAGACAAAGTATGTCTTTTAGACGAATATATTGACCTTTTTCCACAAGATTGGTTTGTACCAAAAAAAATGGAGACACCATATGACATAGTCCCATGCTTTCCAAGAAGCTAATTAGCATTATAGAATCATATTCTGGGAACTCTTTTTCAAGTTTGGAAACAGTAATGACGCCATTATTAGGAATTTTGCTTTCTTCAAATGGTGAAAAAAGGATGCCATCTACATGTTGCAAAAGTACTTGCTTATTTTTAATGACCCATATCCTGCAATTTGTGGCAACTTTAATATATGTATCATCATGTGTCCATACTTCTTCATCGTCATCTTCACAATTGAGATAGTAAATTAAACCCGTTGAATGCAATGATGACAATATACCAAGGATCTGTTTGCCATCATGAGTGGGTAGAAAAAATTGATCATCTTTTGTTGCTACATCGTGAGCAATGTCACTTAAAGCTAAAATATCTTTTTCACTTTCTTGAAGTAATTTGTACATCATGTGGCAATACAATGTCAATGATCTTTTGTTATTATTGCGAATATAGCTACAGGCACTTTTTAATTGCTTGAAAAATGAAGTTAAGTTGTTTCCATTAAGCCTCCGGCAGTCTAAATATATAATAACATCATCATTTTTAGGAAGTTCCTTTTTAATGTTTCCTCTAATTTTCCCTTTCTCATCTTCAGAATTTAGAAGATCAACATGGCTTGCAACTACAATTAATTTGCAATCATCTATTGCTTTTCGCATTTGTTCTCTCACAACTGCTAGCCATTGCTTAAGGTGTATCAAATAGTCACTGTTTGACACATCAACTACAATAATGATAACGGCAGCTGCTCCTTGTAGGATATTCTCAATAACAGCAGTGTGACTTAAGTAGTACTGTGATTGGCCAGCAAAGTCATGGAGAACAATATTTTGAAGTTGGCCGTGCTTTTTAATATTTATAGGAACAATACCTGCAGTAAGTGGTTTAACTTCATTTTTATCAACGTATCTTGCTACATTGGGCATAGAACCACCAGTCTTTTCAATTACCTTACTGAGCGTGCTCTTACCAGCTCCACTGTTTCCTACTATGAAAACATTTACGTATGAATCAACAGGATACATTGTTTTCGTTTTAGCGAATGCATCAAAAAAAATTTTAGTTGCCTTCTTATTTTTACTCCTACCAGCAATGGTCATTGGTGTATCCCTTTATCATCTGTTTTCAGAGGATCAAGTCCAGCTGCAAGAAGACATTGTACAACTCTTAAGCCTTCAATACTAAAAATGTCTTCTGCAGCGTAATGCAATAGAGTTCTTCCTTCGCTATTTGTAGTTGTTGGGTCAACTTTACAATCAGTAATCAAAAAGTCCACTTTAAAATAGCTACGTGAACGAGTTACTTCATACAATTTTTTGAATAAATCTTCTTTTTTGCCCCATTGATTCACAAGGTATTTGACAACATGAGAATGTTTTTCTTTAATTGCTACATCCAGGCAGACATCATACTCTGAATTTTTGTTGCAGTTTTG